CGATTCTTCTACAGTTTGTTTAGTTTCAATATTGCTTTCCTGTTCTTAGAAGTCTGTTTAGGATTTTATGGCTAGAATAATGAATATAGCTGTTAATTTCTATTTTTATATAACTGACTTACCTATATATAGCAACTCAGTTCTGCAAAATAATATATCTTGTTCTCTGTTTTCCTACTTCTCTCATTTTACTCAACAGGGGAGAGGATAGGGAAAACGTAGGCATCTGTTCAGACTTATCAAAAAAATACACATGTTCATGAAATTGAACATGACAAAAGATGTAAATACATTGAGATGACATGTTTAGCCAACGTTAATCTAAATGAGTGGAGCTATAGCCTAAAAAGACAAATAGAGAGGAATAAAAATCTAATTTATGAGCATTATATGGAAGAAGAAACGAAAAGCATAGACACTCAAACATATGTAAAAAGTCATAAATAGGAGTACAATTAAAAAGACACTTAAAGAGATTTATTTTGTAATTGAAAAGTAAACGTATGATTGTGAGATACATAAAATTCTAAAACATATAATTCAAAAAATGCAAGGGTGTGTTACATTAACCTTGAAGAGTGAGACCAGTTTCAACAATATATCAATAACGACATTCAACAATGTCATTTTACATGAACATTGGCATTCAACAAGAGATTGAAAATGATGAAAAATAAAAAACATATCAGATTTCACAATAAGAGGATAAAACCATAAATAATTAATATGAGCATCCAAAAATGACAAAATAGCAAAAACAATCAGAGAAAAATATAAGAGTGAGGCCTCCAACATCATTAAAAATTAAATCAAGAGGAGCAGAAGTATTTTGACTTGTGGGTTCTAATGACAGACGCGATAACTTTTTTAATGGACATGTTTGATATTGAAAATTGAAAGGTCTAGAATTATACGCAGGTTTATTATTTGACACTAATAAATTTAAAATATAAGAAGTACGATGATCCAATCAACAATGTTAGATGTTAGTAGAGGCACAAACACAAGCAAACCAATAAATTTGAGGAATTGACGTGGCTGAAGACTCAAAAATAACATAAAAGCTATCTTTACTATGACCAAAAAGAAGTATTGTTTTGGTGATAAAACCCTTAACATAAGAAATAAAAGAGTGAAATTTAAAAAATATTTTATTGTCAATATAATTTTTTTGAATAAATAGTAATGGTTTGAATAAATAGTAACGGTTTGGTAGTACGAGATATATAAAAAACATTAGATAAAGTAGAAGTTTCATTAGGTATACATAATTTTATATGGTCAATATAGGATATGAAGAGATCCTTATTATTGCCAATATGTAAATCATCATTATTAAGATATGATTTTGAACTCATTAAATTTATAATATTATGAGTAATATGTTGATTCGCATGAGTGTTTTCATAAAACCAATCACAGAGAAAATGCATAAAAGAAATAAAAAATTCCTTCTATTAAAAATTTCTTAACCCCACCCTATCTAATCTAAAGGTGAATTAACCTCCAATTTGAATCATGTTGAGGTTAAGTTTAATTAATTCCTCTTAATAATTCTCCCTCTCCCCTTTTTGCACCAAACTACCTTAATAGTAACTCTTATAGTATAATATTTATCCCCCTAGCAATTCATGGTTTTTTTCTCTTTATATGAATATCCTCTGTTGATACGTATATGATGTTATTAAAAAAATGCCCCTAAAATCCACTACCAAACTTAAATCAATTGTCCTTAATTACTGAATAAATAAAACAATTAATATTGTACATGCCTCACTTAACTACTCTTGCTTTCCTCTTCAATTATTATTCCTTCGTGCAATAGCATTTATTTCTTCATGAAGCACTATTTCAGTACTGCCTACATTAAATACACACCGTTTTTTCTGCTTTAACTAGTAGAGGAACTATGCATAATTTATTTTCTTTTATAGGAAATGGTACGACGATAATTAAATATTAATTGAAGTGGGATATGGACGTGGTAGGGAACCAAAATTTGTAATTTTAAATGGAATTATAAATGAAAAAATAAAAAATAAAAGACAATTTCTATGCTTTATATATTTTCCTTGTGGGGAATGTGAGAGACAAGGACAAATCAAGTTGGTTTCAGTCTATGGCACCGTCCTCCTCATCCTCGTTATTATTGATTATGCATGTGTATGTGTGGTGGAAAAATTTATTAGGCAAAATTTCATGGCAACCAGATGGGTAATGCCTTTCATCCTCTAATATTCCTCCTTAGTAAATATAAATAACGGTAGGATGTATTTTCGGATTAATTTATAAATTTATCCAAACTAATTTTTTTATCTGAATGATGATCAACAACGTATTCATATATTGGTTTGGTTTGGTATACTTGTATAAATTTAATTAAAAAACTTATTATATGATCATTTAATTTATACTTTCGGTACCTTAAAACAAATAAATAACGGTAAGATGTGTTCTTATATCAATTATTATATATATATATTTATCTAAATGATCTTAGCAATGTATTTATATATTGGTTTGATAATTCATAGAAATCTAATTTTTTTTATATCAAAAAAAAAACTTGGGCAAAGAAATTGAATTTTCTGTTCGTGAAAACAAGGTCGAAAATCATGGTGCCTTGAAATCATAGTAAGCCTACGAGCCTATTAATTTTAACGTTTGAAAAATATTTTTAAAAAATTAATTTTTTTTATTTTTTTAGTATTTTTAGATAGTTTTAATGTATAAATATTAAAAATAAATTAGAAAAAAAAAACTAGTTTAATATATTTCTAAATAAAAATATTTAAAAAAATCATAAAACAAAACAATCTTTAAATAATGAAGGGTCAAATATCTCTTCCACGGGGGGCTTTTTACCCCAGGAGGTCTTGATTGCTTGAGGAGAGAAGCCTCCTGGAGAGTCAAAGGCCAATAGAAAGATGTCTCTGACAGAGCTAGAAGAGAGTGAAGTTGCCCCCTTCTATTTGAGACCTGACGGGTTTAAGAAGACGACAATGGCAGGGGCTCGAGCCTCAAGACTGCACAGTGAGTGACCCTCAGATGGCTTAGCAATTGAGAAAATTGTGAGCACTAACACTACAAACTTATTTCTGGATTGGAGACATTGAAACTCGAACCTTACTATTCAATAGTTATCAGACACGCAATCACAAAAAAATTTAAACTGCCTTGGTCTCATATTAAATGTTTTTTTTTTTAGTAATATCAATTTAGATTCTAAACATCCTACTATAATTTTCACCCATTTTCACTTCTTTTCTTAATAACTCTTTAACAAGCATTCAAGTACTTTATTATAAAATTAGCCAGTTAGAGTTTTAAAAGAAATCAATATAAAGTTAACGTATTTAAACATAATTAAATCAACAGATCAATCTCATGATACAATTAAAACTCAATTTAATTTAAAAAATTAAAATAATATTATTTTTATTAAACTTCGTTAACCCGTCTAAGCCTTGAAATTTATTCGTTTTGTGTAAAATATTCTTTAATGTTTGGCTTAAAAAATCGTTTTGTATAAATATTTTTTGATGGTGGTGAGAACATGATAATAATAAAAGAGATGATTGTGGTAATAGTTATGGTGATGACATATCAATGATGATGGAGGAGATAATGGTGATGTGCTTATGGTGATAATGATATGATGGTGGCAGTCGTCGCAATGATGGGGAAATAGTGATGGAAAAATTGATAAAGCTAAGATTGTTGTTATGGTAACAAAGAATGAGGTGATAAGACGATAGTGAAATGGCAATGGTGATAGTGGTAAAGTAGCAATGATAGTGCTAGAGGTGGTAAAGGAGGAGTGATGACATAAAGAAGGAGATGGTTATGAAAAAATCATGATAGTAGTAAAATAATAAAGGTGATGATAGTAGTGGTGAAAGAAGAAGATAATAATTGAAATAGTTAGATGATATTATAAATAAATTATTATTTATAAAATTTCATGAGTTAAAAATAATTTTTAACAAATAAATTAAGTTTGAAGGTTGATTATAAAATATTTTATATTGAACAATTTTCCTATAAAATATTGTATAAAAAAACACAAATTATTTTTTAAAAAATAAACATAAAAAAATCTTAAAAATATTTGATTATTAAATATTTTGCATAAAACAAACAAAATTTTAATCAAGTTATAAATTAGGCGAGGTATAATAACTTTGATGCGCCGCAGGTTAGCCTGATCAAGCAGCCAGGTATAATAACTTTGATAAATATAGTTACGAATAAAATATAGTAATTTTTTTAAAACAAAAATCATTAATGAATTTTGTTATCCCAAAAAATTTGTGCAAGCATAATTAGAGGAGATCTATCATGAAAAGTTCACCCAGCACAGCACGTTCATACATTGATTAGGTCTTAATCCTAAATTTATTGTTCAGGAAAATATGATAAGAAATTTTATATTATCTGAAGAATAACTACCAAGAGACGGGCACAAGGCCAAAAAAAATGCATATAGAGTTCTTTTTCTTCTTTTTTTGCTTAGCTTTCTTCAATTACAGAAAAAGTTCCCGTTGCGCTTTGGTGTCTGTTATCTATCCATTGAAAAAGGGGAAACAGAACCATATGCTCAGACCATAGAATTCAAGCAAAAGACGATGAACATTGAAAGGAAAACACAAGTAGCTCATCTCTTCAATGAAAACCATGTTCCATTGTGGATGTGAAGGTGACCTATGATAAAGAATGCACAGATCAAAAATCAATCCTGATTGTTTGCTAAAGCAAGATTGATGAAGGTGATTAAGTGAATGATTGTAAATGTAGTTATATAATTGTGATTATTTTCTAAAATACTCCTATAAAATACAACTAAATAAAAAAATTATTTTTCAATCAATCCGAAACATATAAAAAATTAAAAATTTTAACCCAAAAAATAAAGTTTTTATGGAATACAATTTGCACCACTTCAAACCTAAAAGTGCCTTTAAAGGTCAGCACACCGCACAGGGCCTCAAGGACATTGATGATAGAATTAGAGATGCATAGACATAGAAACAGAAATAATGAGCCTCTACAACAAAGCAATAGAGTTGATTCAAAAAAACGTGCTAGGAAGCAAGCAGCCCTTAATTTCGGTGACCTACTCCAAAATGGAATCTCTTTGTGTGCCTGTCATTAAATGCATATTCAAGCCGAAGAGGGCCCAATGGTGAGTCCACACGGATGCCGAAGCCATACCCATATCCACTTCCAGGCTTCAGCCTTGCTCCAGCAGGATCACCTGCAAAGAATGACCAAAAACAGAGGTATAGGTGAAATGTGCATCATTTTAGTAAAACTCATCCCCCCGGCAATGACAAAAAGGGGATACATCCTTGCACACGCAGCATATTTGAAGAACGAAAAGTAATCAGTTCAGCAATCAAGCTTGATATGAATCAGCCGGGAAGTTACTCTATCAAAATAGATCATGTTGAGGTTAGAGTCGCGCCCTACATAACAAGCAGTCATTAGCCTGCCCCGTATCTTTGGACGGGGTTGCCAATCCCATCCCAGTCCAGTAGTGATAGTTGCATCAAGGGCCACCAGCTTTTAATAGAAGGAGAGAACAAATGACTCGTGCCTATTTTTCAATCCCTTTTTGCACAAATAACATAATCTATACAGACAGAACCAACATCCTAAGTAGTGAATCAAGAAATCACACACAAAAAAACATACCAGGCACTGTGGGTCCAGATCCAAGGTCTGTTCCATAGTCAGCAAAAAAAACTCCTTCCACTGGTCCCAACTGCCAAGAACAGACAAATAACTAAATCTTTTCCTTGACGTTTGGATTGTGATGAAATTATTGTCAAACATGCACAGCATTCACAAAAGTCAAAAAACAAGGCCAGTACCGTAATGCCAGTGGTACAACATTCATAAAGACCAAAACAAAAGTTGCCAGCAGTGACCTACCACAGGGAAAGAAATTTCACCCGAGCCAACTGCATAAGATCGACCAGAGCCCACAGCCCCTTCTTCATATCCTCTCACACTGTTTGTTCCCCCAATGGCAAATGCTTCATGAGGAGAGAAATTACCCATCACATGACCACCAGACAAACTGGAAATGAGAAGCGAAGGAAACTCAACCAGCAGTACCAGATTATTGCTTGAACTTCGATATAAATAAGAGTACATGCAGGAGCCAATAAAAAAGATGGATCCTATTGGCTATAATACAGAAGCATAGTGGACTTTACCATTCTGAATAGTACACTGTAATTTACTATAGAACTTTAAATAATTTTGTAATTCTCCCCAACATATAAACGCATTTTTTTTCCAGACAGTAAATAATTTGGTAATTTCAATAGTCAAGAACTTCATTCAAACCTGCTCAACGCTTTGCAACAACTGTTTATCATCTGAAACTTTCCTCATATATACCACAGAAAGGCTATTTAAGCCACTTTACAGACTTGCTCACAGGTAAAAAGGTACAAAAAGAAAGAAATAAATACCAAACCTCAAAAGACAAAGAGCAGGACCAATTTCCACGCCCTTTCTAGCACGAGTATTAACTCTGTTGAAAAACAGCCACTCGGGCCAAAGAGGTAGTCCTTGTTCCATGTTAAACACAAACTGCAAAGACACAAAAAAAAAAAAAATGCCAATCCATAAAACAGTAAAAACCAAAACTGCAGACCTTTTCGTTCTTTATTTTTCTTTTCATTTTTTAACAAGTATATTATAATAAAATGCCAGGATAAGAAATTCCTGCTTAAATGACTAACCATTGAAGAGCCATGGTCACCAGAACCTGTATATACACTTTCAAATTTAGCAAGCAACATATCATCATGATTCTTGCCACTGCATGATACAAATGTTAACAGAAAAGGTAAATCACAAGGCAAGTATATTCGCAATTAACAACCAATGAAACATTGGGAGTTAAAAATCAAAAGGCTTGATGGCATTTTCCACCAGAGATGTGTACCTTGCAGTGAGGGGGCTGCTGTAATGGTCTTTGATCATAGGTTCTCCTTTTTCATTACGAGCACCAGCATGCTGAGATAGTGGGAATCAATAAACAAAAATTGGTAATACAGCTTATGCCAAATTGTTATCTAACCAAGAGAATAAAACTTTCAAAATTACTACAAGCAACCAAAATAACATAAAGGCATTCTATACATTTCCCATGCAAGCCTGGCGAACATAGAAATATCTGAATTCCCTAATTATTTTGAAGCACTGATTAAAGCCATTATATAATGGACTTTCAATATAGTTATTACCTCTACTAGTAGAAACTGTTTTATGGGGTCCCTCTACCTGTATAACAAAGTTTTCATTTAATAAAAATCCTCCACCTGCTAACACTTCTGGCACTTAATGGTTAACCAGTGAAATCACAACACGTGGATCAAATACCTTTTTTCCAACTAATGTTCCACATGTCAAGATCTCATTAGTCAACCCCTAAGTCCTAACTGCGTTAACAGATAAGGTGTTGTGATTAAATAAAAATTGTGTTGTACAAGGACACAATGTCACATTATGTTGGTAAACAGACCAAATAAAACACTTTCTACTAGTAGAGGGAATTTGAGATGTTAAACTGGAAAAGCCCATTATAAAATGGAAAACACATTCAAAGATTCATGGACATGGAAAATATAAAATAATGAGAACAAGGTTGGTAGTCTATGAATTTATGTAGACAACTATTCATAATGTCATTATTATCAAGGGAAAGCTATGGAAATCCAGATACAGCTGTTCATTAACTCATTAATGCTGCCAATTTTCAATAATTAAGTACCTGAAAAATAAGTCCAACTGTTCCACTCCACTTTGGTCTGAGTGGTCTACTAAATTCTATACCAGCTGCAACTCTGCCAATCGTCAGGCTATTATTTACAGGTTGGTTACCATGAACAAGATTCCCAGGGGTTCTTGAATTCTAGTGCAGGAAAAATCAGTTCACAAAGCAATGAGCACTTTTACATTATCACCAAAAAATAATTGCAAGTGGAGGCAACATGACAAAAGATTACCTGAACCATAATTGTTCTAGAAGTTCGTTTGTCGTCCCCTTCAATCCAGGGGTCTGTGTAGTTTATTCGAAAGATTGAGTCAATTTGTCCCCTCTCAAGGGAAATATTAAGTTTCTGGTTTCGTCCAAAAACATTCCTATGAGAATATGCAAAGCTGCAACAGATACAAAGGCAAATGTGGGGTAACAACAACATTCCTCACAAGTTTCCACGTGGTAACAAAGCCACTAATTAAAGATTATCATGCATTTTTTAGAGGAAAACTAAACCAAGCACGTCATGTATTTGGTAAAATTACCTTCCAATAAGTCCTGGTAGAGAGCCACTTGTAGTCCTAGAAATTGCAATGTAATCAGTATATGATGTTTCCAGTCCACCAAAGATAAGTCGATATAAATGCAAATGAGGAAAAGCATGGGATCAGTGCCCTCTATGTTAATATCACTCACCCACTTGATATCCCACCACCAGCAGAAAATCCTCCATTTGGACGTTCAACAACATTCATTATCAAATCAACTTTGCCAGTATCTAAACAACGAGAGGCGGAAAAACAGTTTCAAGTTCAATGTTTGGGATAGAACAGCTGTGTTATGTATGCACATAGGCACCTCCATTCAATTATGCTAACATAAATGATTATTCAGAAAATATGTATAACACAGAAGAGACTCTCAATGACTAGCAAAAGGTATAGACCATGTCAAAAGGTATCATTGATAGAACATTGAATCTTCAGTGTTATGCTTGATACACCAACTGATATCAAATTACACAAGAACCAAATTTATTTGAGAATACCCTCAAGTGGATTCCACCCATGGTTCTCTAAACATGGGTAAAATGTTACTGCAAAGATGCATGGACACACACAAATAAGCGTGTGATGAGTGCCTGCAAACAGACATATATGTGCATGTGTGAGAGTATATATATGTTCAAAGATGTATATTTCAGCTAGCATTTTTCAGAATATAATATTTCAAAATATGCATCTCATCATGACACTAGTTACAATGTATAACATCCTCTTTTTTTAACCTTCAGCAGGTTGAGGAATAAAGCTAACATCTTCCATGATTCCCATAGTTAACACAGTATCCACATCTCTTTTCCCTTGAAGCATGCTGTAGACCTATAAAGGAGCCATTTCAAATAGAAAAACGTGTCAGTGAATATAATAAAGCTAAATTTAATTTCCATAAATGACAATTTGAGTAAAAATCCTTAAAAAAAAAAAAACTATGGAATTGATGTAAAATAGAGTTATGGAGTTAACTTTTATTTAATAACCACAGGAAAAACATAAATGAATGCTACAAATTACAAAAACTAAAGACTTTGAATGCAGAAAAATGATGAAGCCCCCCAGTTTGCCAGAAATGATCATTATATACATGATGTAATCAGGAAATATCGTTTGAAAGGACAAATGAAAAAAGCTATGCCAGAATAACCTGTCCCTTTTTGGTTGTAAGTTGCCTAAGTATCGTCTCAGGCTTTGTCTTCCCTTTGGTTGGTTCACCACTGGAGCATTAAAGCACAAATTAGTAATGAGTCTTTGTCTCCACATCTGGGTGCTTGTGGATGTGAAAGAGATTGTGTAACAAATTGAAGGAAAGCTCTTACGTTTTTCGGTCAAGAAAGCGGATGGAAATGTCATTCACCTCTGCTTCTGCAATTTGTAACCTTATAATACCCCCAGAGAGTATCTCAGCATTTGAGACCTATAAAAATGAAAAGAAAACTGATGCTAATGTAAAAGTTGTGGTCATTAATCATGGAGAACCTGATATTTTAATCCCAGGTTATCATGATGATGATATAATATCATGAAAGATGAAACACAAACCATGCCAAAAAGACCACGCTCCATGTACCAGCTATTGATGGAACTTATCACTTCATCCAATTGCTTAATATTAACCACTTTTCCTGCACAGCTTGACACCAAAAATAAAATCAATGAAAGTTTCCTATTTAAACATTTTAAGGTAGCATGGCAACACCAGTAACCACAAAATAGAATCATATCATAACTAAAAAAAGACTTGTCTATTTTGTAGCATTCCCTTAGTTTGAAACATTATACATTAGAGGAAAAAACACAGAAAACTGGAAGGGCAAAACAATTTACAAAATAATGAGTATGAGAAGGGCAAGGAAGAGATAAAAAATGGGCATTAGACTTGGTCTACCGCATCACTCATAGATTAAGCTAATAAACACAAAACATGTAGACAAACTCATGTGAAATGCATACATTATTCAGTGGGAACTACCATATTTTATCTAAGTATCTTGTGTTCACTGACAAGGGATGATGTGGTCTATGTAATAATTTCTCCAGCTCTACATACAACATGTATCATTAACCTCTATAAATGTAATACGAAATACAACCTACCATATCCGCCACGAAAAGCATCCTGTAAAAACTTTGTCGGAAGAACACTAGCCCCTTCGCATACTAGCCCAAGAAACTCCTGGTTTGGCTCTACCTTATGCCACAAGAAAGCCACATTAGCCATTAATCCAACCCATACCATTGCATTGCCATCTGCTGTTGTTTACAAACAACTCACACAATGCACGAATGCAAGCCACAATGCTCAAAGACATTAACTTTCTATAAGCCCAACATCCCAATTATAACTGCGAATGAAAATCCGTAATTTGGAGGGTCCCACCTACCTGAAAAACCAGTCGAATGCCATCACGTGTGTCAACAGCAACAGGCATACAGGAGCAAAAGTACCCACTACTAATAACCCTATGCACATCCTCCTGAACTTCACGAACCGTAAGAGCTGAGTTAGCACGGCAAGCTTTTAACGCAGCTAGAGCCTCAGCTTCCAAATCCTTCCTCTCTAGTTCCTCCCCGTCTTTATTCCTCACCAACACTTCACTTATCAGCACCCTCTCCTCATCATACCGACTCGGCCCATGAACCCCACCCGCCCCGCCACTCTTCTGCTGGGCCACCACTGAGTCACTCTGAGTCGAATCACGGAGTTGAGACTGACTCAGTGACAAGGACGCGGAGCAGAGGATCGGCAGGGATTTAGGGTCGGACCCGGGGGAGGACGGCCGAGGTAGGGAGAACGAGGCGGAGCAGAGGAGGGGTGAGTTGGGGAACCTGGTGCGGGTTAGGAGCGAGTCGAGGAAGGTGAGTTTGGTTTGTAGAAGTTGAGAGAAGAAAGGGAGAGAGGGTTTAGTTTGGTGGTGAAGGAAAGGTGCGATTTTGAGAGCAGAAGAAGTGAAGGAAACGTCGTCGTTTTTTACCATTGTGGAGAGAGATTTTGCGTAAGGATGTGAATTGGTGAAGAAAAACGAAGAGACAACCCTAATTGGAGAACATTAATTTGGGGATTTTTTTCTTCTGAAGAAGAGATGAAGACGAACCCTAGAGGGGGGTGTCCGTCACTTACAGCAGCAGGAAGCACCTGATGCTTTATTTTCGTCAAAATGAATATTAATATATACATTAACAGAAACAATAAAGGACGAAGGCTAAAAACTGTGCAAAATACAAACGACCGGTAAATTACGAGTTTGTTCTTTTAAAAATTGGGGTGCCCATAAGGGTGATTTAGTCTTTTACTACTGCATTAAAGGATTGTCGCGCAATTTGTCCTGTATTATTTTATTTTGTTAATCTTTTCAACTTTTTTAAAAACAGTCAAATTACTGATTTACCCCTCATAGAAAAATTAAAGTGATGGCCAAGTTTTTGTTTTTTACAAAATAGAAAAATAATTGAAATAAAAATAAAGTGATTATTCAGAGTATTTTTTTTAATTAAAAAGTTGTAAAAGCATAGAACTTAATCCTCTGTATCTCGTGCTCGTGGATGGTAGTGGGTGTGATGTGTCTTTCATTGATGAAATTTGTTATTCTATTATATTTTTGAAAGTTTTATCTTGTTTTTCTTTTCTTTTTTTTTTCCAGTACAGAGTGTGACAGCATTTGATAAATAATTTCTTATTGGAGATTTTTTTTTGTTAAAGTTTTATTGGTTTTCAAAATCATTCTTTAATTAAATTTTATGGTATGTTATTTTTTTTAATTTGATCCTTATTATTTTATATTGTTTTTTCTATTTGTTAAAGTAATTTTTCTTTTGAATTTAACTCACCAATTTATTTATTTTTATTACCCTCTATTTATGTTTTATTTTGATTTCTCACTATCATTCTTTTGATTATAATTTTTTTATATCATTTTATGTAATTGATGATGCTTTTGTTTCATCCTTTAACGTTTAATTTGTTAGGGATTGAACATTGTGAGTTACTCATTTATTGTGCTCTTAATTTAATAATTTGAATCACATGTTTAATAAGTTGATGTAGTTCGATATATTTTTTTAGCTCATTTTTTTTTTAATTTTATTGCTTAGCATTATTTTCTTTAAAAAAATATCTTGTTGTTATCTTCATTGTTTTTTTATTAATTTATCCGAGTCTTATAACTTAACTCACGAGATTTGCAAATTTTTTTTTGAATAAAGGTTTTTTATAATTGTTTTGCATGTGTTTAATTTTTAAATATATTATTTTGATTCATCTATGAATTTTTTTTGTTTTATGTATATTGAATTTATTTTTAAAAAATACTAAATATTTATTTTTAAATAATATTTCTAATATGTACAACCTTGCAGGAAGTTTTTTTCTCTTTTTATTTTATTCAATCTTTTTATTGTCATTTGATTTAATAAAAAATTAATTTTAATAAACAAATTTAATGAACACATTTTGATAAATATTTTAATCTATATCTATCGCTCAAATTTTTTAGTTAGTTTTACTTTTAGTTATTTTTAATAACTTTTATTTTATTTATTTACATATATGATTATCGATTTATTTATTTAATTAAAAAAATTTATATAAAAAAACAAGTTAGAAAAACCTGTATATTAAAAAAAATTAAAAATAAAAGTACGGAACTTGCAGTGAAGCGTGAATCAAGTAACTAATACATGTATGTGTGTGTGCGTGTGTCTATATATATATATATATATATATATATATATAT